TGCAGTTGTCTCATAGAATGGCAGCAGGTCAGCGTGAGACGAAGGGCAAAGGTCATGTATGAGCCATAAAAGCTGCCGTTTAGTGTTAGGTCATTGGAGGGTCGTTTACATTCAATTCAAAGTCCAATTGAAAGTACTCTACTATGTACATCCCTATTGCAACTCTGATGAACAACTGAAGTCTTCCCTGAAATGAGAAAATAATCACCTTTACCTAAATGCACTTCATTTCAGCTCACTAGGAATTTTGCTGCTTATCATCGTTGGATTGTTCTGTCTTTTCATGTCGAGAGGTGGCTCGGAGTAGTCAATGTACTCCACGGCTTGGAAAGAGTTGCCCGTGGCATAATACCACCACCGATGCACCCAGTGCCACTGAGAGTATCATCAGATATGTTATTGACGGATTCATAGTCCTTGAAGCAGATGCGCTGCTGAGTGACACAATCCTCAGAGCAGTTTCTCTGTGAAAAGCAGCAACCTTCATCACCGCTGGGGGACGGATATGAGTCCAGGGAGTTGTTGTACCAGAGAAAGTTGGCCTCGACAAAATATCCTGCCCTCTGAGGGGGAGAGAGGATAATCATAGCTAGCGTCGGTGATGAATATACTGTTGTGAGGACTCACTGCAAGAGGGAGCAAGAGGAGGAGGTAGAGGGGTAGGCACTTCATATTGAACAGCTGGTGTGGATAAGTGGAAATGATGGCTACTTCTCTGGAGCTCTGATGCTAATCCCGAACGATAAGACGCAAATGCGGTGACTCCTGCCGTCCGAGGAGCCCCTCCCAACTATAGCGACACTCTCCGCAGTCGTCCGCACCTTGTTTAGCGGTATCTTGGCAAAGCCACAGCGCGTGTGCGCGGTATTATACAGGGCTAGGGGTCGGTGGACCGGACATGCTGTTCCATCACAGCGCAAAATTAGCGTAGGTGCGATTAGTGGGCGCAGTGCGCATGCCTACAAAATACGCCACCGACCCGGCGAGGAAAGCTTGCAGCAGCCACTCCGTGTAGGAGTGGGAAGATGGTACCCTGCCTGCCTGATACCATTGGAGGCTAGAACCAGTGTATGTACCTGCTCAGTTGTTTACTACTAGATGTGATGGATGGCTTCCTTGCTTGCCATATCTGAGGCAATCACGATGCTAGGTTCCTCGAAATGGGGCTGAGTACTCTAGCCTGCATGACATAACACCCACATTGCTCAAAGCATTCCATCCACCCTTTACAATAGTACACATCACCATACACAGGCAATTGGAGTTGAAAAACAACAGCATTAGCTTTATCAAAACAACGACCACCTCAAAGGCGAAGATCAAAGTAGTTGAAAATATGCAACTGATGTAAAACACACAACGTTTCGATTTGCATTAAGGAGTATGAAGCTCTACTGAATGTGTGCATAGAGGGTAGTGGAGCTGTTCATTGCATTGTCGGAAGTGCTGTGGGATAGAGGGTCAGGTTTGGCAGCAGCAGCTGAGTTGACCGGACTGAGATATGGGTTCTCCACCCTTGGGGAGGCCGATATCGGCTCCGAGAGGGCTCCGCCTACTGCTGTGGCAGGGGACTGGGGACCAATGTGATCATATGGGTTAGCCACGGCGAGGGGGTCTGGCTCTGGGAGTTCGAGGTGAGGAGGTTTCTGGTCCAGAGAGCCGACTGGGTCCCCTGGAATGTGGGCATATTGGCTGTTGATGTCCTCCAGTGTAGCGTAGGGGTGCTCTGGGGGGCGAGGAGGGAGGGGAGGGGAGGCTGGGGAGTTTGTTCGCTCGCTGTACAGCGGGTTTTCAAACTTTCTCTCAGAGAGACCGTTCGACGCGTGTCCGTTCCCACGCCACTTTCTGAAGAACGGTGTTTCGTATGGATTGGGGGTAGTCCCATCATCTGTGAGACAAATGAGCAACGTTAGATAAAGACATCATAATCTATGTGATTATAAGCAGCATATTTTCCCATATCTTCTACCCATTATCTGAAGAGCACAATGACTGAGGGGAGGTTCTATGCCAATAATGATAAAGTCCTCCCTCTCCTATATGCACAGTCTGTAGTACACATGTTCAACATGCTCAATTTGTCCTTCCAACTGAAATTACAGATAATTACTCATTATACCATCAGGCCCTGCCAACTCCACACTTTAATTAGCTTGCTCAGCTAATTAGTCGTTCTAATTTCTGGCATTGTGTGTCTTTCCTCTAAAACTGATCCTCTCTCTGCATGAGCTCTAGGTGAGGGTTAGCGGAGAGAGCAGAGAGCCCCACATAGCTGGCAGGGAACGAGGCTGTCGGGGCCAACGGCTGCCTTGATATGGCTGGGGTCTAATGGACATAATGTCCAGGAATGCTGTGTCATCATCTTCAGAGCTACATACCTTACTATATACAGGGCAGTCCCGGGAATACTCGGCCTATATACTCTGGGTCCAATACCCACAGAGAAAGAGTTATGAGAGAGAGAGGGAGACATGATGACAGGGAGGAACCGAGTCACAGCCTTGTTAGAGAGATTTGCTCACTCAAGCACTTGTAACAGGCACATAAGTGCTACACTGACAACCTTTAACAGTCAACAAAGCTTCGGCCTGCCATACTGTTCTCACTACAATGCTTTATACATAGGTGCACACTGCAGAGTACAGCAAAGCAAGCTCATTACTGCTGTTGATGCGAAATCTGAGAAATTCCAGAGCAGCACGGAATCCATCTCCTCTCCCTGTTTTATTTGCATACGTAACAAGCTTCTGTACACATGATATGTCTCAAAAATGCTAACATCAACAGCATATTGCCACCATTCTGTGTGAGGTAAGTGAGCCCAGGACAAATATCTCGTATTTCACTGTCAACACAGACATGAAGAAGGCTACATGTAGCAGACCAAGGGCTACTTGAAAGATGGTATTTTCTACGTAACACAGACACCACTCACCAGTTCTCTTTATCTTGCGTCCTCGGAAGAGAAGCACGCATATTGCAATGACTACGAGGACAATGAGAATGAAGACTAGTCCACCGACTGTTGCAACCGCAATCACCAACACATCTGACTCTGCAAAAGGAAAGGAAGGTGCTCTAGTCTACTAGTCTTCAGAGGAGAAATGAGAAACTCTTCAATTCACACACTTCCTTTATTAAACCACTACAGTGAGTAGATGAAACCTGCCAATGACAAGAGGAGGATACACCTCTTGTTCTCCCCCACTACAGACACATCGGAGGCATTATCTCACTGAAAGCTGATTACACTCGGCATGTTTAGTACATTACACCTGACATTATCTCTTTCTTCCCAAAAGTAAACTCACGTGTGGCAGTGGTGGGAATAGTTTCACAAAGCTCTCCATTGTATCTGTAGCCTTCACTGCATTCACAGGTTACACCTTCCTCTCTCCTCACGCACTCTCCGTTCTCCCCACACTCCACTTCACACGGGCACTCCTTGCACACACAGGTATCGTTCTGTAAGGGAAAAGGCTCTGCATCAACATCAATTGCTGAGACAGGCAATTAGCTGTCTGAGTTATCTTTGTAGTTCTACTCAACTGGGCTTGACAAAAATAATTGCTTCTGCACATGCTGTGGTTGGGTCTGGAGAAACGTTTGTTTGATGTGAGTTGGTATGCCTATAATGAATTGGCAGTTAGTCAACTCGGCACATCAACGTTTGCTGGTATCAGTATAATAATTAGAGAAACTAACACGCCATGGTCGGTGGTACTCACCACACACTCCTGTCCACAAGTGTGGCTGAGAAATTTGTGTTTCCGTTTGCAAGAGCTACTGTTGCAAATCTGGCCACTGCACACTAGCTCACCTAGGACCGGTGAGAGAGGGACACACTGAAACCAATAGCTACCAATGGGAGTGTCGTGTACTCACTGCAGTCGTCTCCAGAGAACCCAGGATAGCATACACAGTCCCCTGGGTCTTCACAGTAGCCTCTCTCAGGACCTGTACGGTGACAGACAGACTATGTGGAGACATGCACAGAGATAGTCTCTCACTGCATGTCTCGGCTGGAACACAGTCATGACACTCTGCTCCCTGGTAGCCGTCCAGACACTCCTTCTCTCCTGTGACATTGTTACAACTGTAGCGTCCGGTGCTGTCGTTGGTGGGAACACAGAAGGTACAGTCTGGGCCGTAGGAGTCTGGACCGCACGTCAGTCTGAATGCTAGCTCGAGGTGAGAGTAGCTGGCATTGCCAGAGAAGAGCATTGTATCAGAGAACGGGTCGTTAGCTGAAGAAACGGCAGGTATATTAGGATAGATGACTATATTGTCCACTACATCTGAAGAGGACTCTATTGTGGACGTCAGGTCGAGGTCATATACAGTGAACATCACCTCAACTTTTCCCTATACCAAGAGACAGAGAGGAGGAGGAATTATGAACGAGTGGAATTGTTGAGCTTGCCAAACCATACAAATCTGACCAAGCATACTTTTTAAGTAGGAACATGCAGCAAAGGGAAACGACCTCCCTCTCTGACAATTAGACCACATACCCACATCTCCCCAGACACTGTGATGGGATTGGAGAGTCCTCCAATATTTTCTCCTATGGTGAACATCAGATCATCGTCATCTTCTGCAATTAGCGTGCTATCCTGCTGATTTAGATCGCAGTCACCCTTAATAGTAGGGATGTTCCGAACACACACACGGAAGGCATTGTCACAAGACTTGCATGGAGTTGCCGTGTCCAGCTCACAGCATCCAAACCTAAAGTTCTCCAGTGATTTTGCCATGTGAGAAGGATTTTCATAGCTCAGCATCAGAATCTCTAGCGTGTAGTTACCCTCCACTGTCGACATTACCTGGAAGAGGAGGCGACCACTGTGTGAAATGCGTCACGTCACATCAATGCATTCAATAGCTCGCTATGTTTCTATGCATAGGGGCGTTTGGTGTAGTTACTAATGTTACTAATGCATTGCACAAATAGCCCGGTCGCCGCCGTTCTCTACGTTCTCTGTTCTTACTTGCATTGCTAGAGCACTTTGCATTCCCCTGCCTCCACACACACGAGAACTAGAAACTCACCGAACTCAGCGTCAAAAATAATGCTGCTGCCACGCAGCGGATAACGCCAGCTCTCCAAGCCATTCCCTTTACTCTCCGGTGGAGCGATGCAGTGTCCAGGCAGCTCAGAGTGACCAGACCGCGAGCGCGGATGGAATTGTAGAGACTTTCCTGGCACGCGTTTCTCACGGTAACCCCGTCTGCCGCTTTTCTTTGTTGTCGCCGACCGGAAATCCCTGTCCAGCTGACGATGCTAGCTCGGGCCTTTGATCTCGGCCGCCTCAAAACAGAGCAGGCCTCAAACAGAGTAGGTCTCTAAATGGTAACTATCCCCGTCAAACACTGCGCCAGCTGAGGACGTGGGCGATCCCTTACACAAGAGGGAGAGACCTGAGCACAGAATTTTACCAACTGACTTAGCACTCTGAGGTTAGCATTTTGCTCTTTAGTACTTCTAGTGACAAGTTCACTGCAATAGCAGCAAATGTTTGTTGTTAAAAACAGAGAGGTAGTAAGGAGTCAGCATCATAAGTGCACTAAAAGTGTAAATTACAACTAGCAGTGTTGTTGGCAAAGCTCAGGACATGCAGCTAGTACTGATCTCTCACTAGTGTATGGGTGAAGCCAGATTTGGTCGCTGCGCTAATTCAGAATTAATAAAAGAGAGTTCCACCCAATGCATGTGGTAAATCCTTAGGATGTTTACACTTTAGGAGTATAATACATGGTTGTGACTATATAAGTCTCATGGTGCCAGCTATTATCATATAGCTGCATGACACAGCGTTGGCGTGTACTGTGGTGGGTGCACAACCCGAGGGCTCTGGTACATGATCGTTTTGGCCTGCGGCTGCGGAGTTGGCAAGGAGGGTGTGGCATAGTAAGGGTCTTGATCTAGCTTGTCTTGCCGCTGAGGCTGAAGGCTCGTGTCTGCCTCCAGGTAGGGAGGATTGGCCTCCAGGTAGAGAGGATTGAGAACCTTGTGGTAATTGTCTTCCTCTGTGCGGGGAATGTTGTACACTGTCTCTGGGGTTTTTGGCTGTTCATAGACTGGCTCCCTGCCGCAGTTATTGTATGATGGATTATCATACATCCCGTCTTCCTCAGAGTCTCTCTTTTCTCTTTCCACTGTGGGGAATCAGTGAAGGACACCTGTAACACTGCAAGTGTTGATTTACCATTTCCAAGCCACCGCCTTCCTCCCTGCCGCCCACAGTGGACCCTCCGCACCACAAACACCACCACAAGACCAGAGAGGACCAGAAGCAGACCAAAGGTAGCCACTGTTGCTACCACCACTGCCACATCTCTGCCACTTGGTTGACCTTCACTGCTGACTGGCGCCACTGTAACAAACATCGAGTGTCTCAACTTACAAAGCTGGATCCGATTAGGAGAAGACAAAAGGATAAGGTTCCGTCAGAACACTCAATTAGTGTCATAAGAGCAGGGACTAGTGTATAAGGACCTACTGGCTGTAGGGGTGGGGTGTGGTATTGTTGTGGTTGTAGACAAGACTCAAGCTGACATTGACTGCCCACAAAAGGCAGTGGGCAGGAGCACGTGTAGCCATCCTCCATGTCGGGAGCTTTGCTGCACACACCTCCATTCTCACAAGGTCTCTCTGAACATATGTCCGCGCTGTAGCTGTGCAGGGAAAACTCATTATAAAGGCCATTTGAGGCCACCCCTGTGAATCAGCTCTCTGCTAATACAGAGTTGAACTAACTGTCGGAGCACTGCTCTGCATCGCAAGGCCGCTCAGCACATCTGTCTCCGGTGTAGTTGTTTGTGCAGGTGAGTCGGAAGTTGAACCTGAGAAAACCCCACCCTGCATTTCCCCGGACCTCTTCTGCACTGGTGAACATGGCTGTAGGGGTGACTCCGGCGGGCTTGCTCACAACCAGCACATCCACCTCCTCAGACCTCTCCCCACCATCTCCGTCCTCCACCATGACAACCAGCTCAAACCCTCCCTGCACACAGAGACACTGTTTACTTGTTTACTTCTCTGATCATTCGTAGCTTGCTCGCCAATAACAAAGACCTTTCCAGATCAGTTACTAGCCTCAAATTGGTTGTTGCTCGTTGCTGTCAAAAGTTGCTAAAACTCACTGGCCACTCCACTCCGGTGAAGATGAGAGGATTCTGCACACCGTCAGCTATGAGGGCCCCACCGGTGGAGAAATTGACAGCGTCACTGAGAGCAGGGTCAGGGGAATAGAGTGGCCCGGTTCCTAGCTGACCCAGGGAGCAATCAGCACTGTCTGGAGGACTCAGGCAGAAGTGGAGGGAGTTGTCGCAGTGATTCAGACATTCTCTTGGTCCCTGGCCCATGTCACAGCATCTCCCTGACTGGAGACGGTGTGCGGGGTTCAGGTAGCGCAATAGCTGGAGCTCCAGCCGGTACTCAGCAGACACAACATTCCCTGCCAGTAACAGAACTACCAACCAATCAGAGCAAGTGGTACAAGTCGGAAAGAGATACATGCTACTCTATCTCTTGTGTTGTTTGTGAGGTATGATAGCAAGTTTTATAGTTAGCAATGATGCTGGGCCAGACCCACAGACACAATAATGTTTCAGAGTGTCAGGAACTGTAGTGGGACCCCGTGTTTGGCTGGGAGACCATTTCCTTTGTGGTCTCCTAGTGAACCATCTATAGCTGGGACCTGACTCATTGCATGTGATCCTGCAGCCATGTTTGGCCGCTGGGGCCTTGCCACCAGTTGGTTCCTACCTCCAGGAAGCTGGGGCACAGCATTCACTATGGAGTAGAGGATGCCTGAGGGTGTCCGCTGCCATATTTGTAGTTGGCACTCTGTGGCCTGTGCTTCCCACGCATGCCAATGCTGGAGGGTAATCAAATGATTCCGGCTAAGTTCTTTGTTCATTTATGATGTACACCACAATGGCACAGTTACTTAATCAGCACACAGAGAGTATAGTAAGGACAACATAGGACACACTAGAGGTGAACACACGGAAATAGCGAGAGAACATATTAGAGTGCTACAGGTATTCTGATTGATAGTCAGAGTCAATGTCATCACTGTCAGTTTGCGACGGAGGACTCCACGCGTACTTGCTGTCGTCAAACAACTGGTCACCAGCAACTCTTGTTATTGTGCTGTCCCCATAGTTGCCATAGGGATTGAGTTTCCCTGCTGGAGTTGGTGGGTGGCGGTACGAGGAGGGGCTGCTGTAGACTGCATCGTCGAATGGCACCTCTCCAATCTCGTTCTGATCCTCGGGGACCAGGTCCTCAATGGGGGTGACGTCAGTGGCTCTGCTAGGAGGACTGGCACTGCTGTGAGTGGGTGAGTGGAGAGGCGAGGACGATACTTCATTCACGTTCGTTGACGACATGTAGATTGGGTTGTCCCCTGGCATTTGCACCTTCGTTGAACTCCCTGGGGAGAGATAAGAGGAGTTGGTATGCGTGATGACATGGTTTGACTGGTGGATTCTTACGTAAGATAATGTCTGTCTTCTTAATAGGATGACGATTCCTATCACAACAGCCACTACTGTCACTATTACCAACACACTCACGACCACTCCAACTACGACACCTGCCACGTTGTCTTCTTTACTTGATCTCTCAGCTGGTGGGAGAGACTGTGTATATATTATGGCAGTAAACAATGGGGTGTATAGGGGAATGCTAGCCATGCAAATATCAGTGGGTGCAGGGCAAGAGGGTATGAACTTGTAGTTTACCCAAGTTCCTCCTGTTGCAAGCCCATTGGGGAATCATTCATTCCTATCAACACAATCATTGGTGAGTAACTACAGCAGGAAATTTAATTGCGGTCTGCCAACATCTTGGTGTGTTTTCACAGCAAACAAGGAACCACAAGGTTTGTTGATACTCTCGAAATCTCGTGACATCTTTGCCCGAGATCAAGGCCTACAGACCCACTTTTACCACAATTGATAGCTGTTGTGCACGTACTGGTGCAATTTCCTCGCATTGTGCAGTTGGTATGGACACTGTCATCACACTCTGGGCATCCTGCAGTGACAGCCTCAGTGCAGTTAGTCTCTGGATTCTGGTATCCATCAAAACAGACTCTCTGTCCCTCACTGTCGCAGTAGTAAAATCCCTGGTTTGAACCATTGGCTGGTTTACAGAACACGTCGCACCGCCCCCCATAGAGGTCTGAGAGAGAGACAATTTATGCTAAGGGTTTGTGAAACTTGCTGCTTACTCTCTGAGCACTCCACTCTGAAGCTGATGACAATGGTGAAGATGCCTGCCTCACTTGTATAGGCAGTGGGGAGAGTAAAAGAGTCAGAGGGAGAGAGGAGATGCTCAACTACAAGAATATCAACAAAATCGTCTGGATTTTGTTGATCTGCGTCAAACACCTGAACCACCAGCCGAAATGATCCCTACACACCGTAGGACAGTGAACAATACCAACACAAACTATCATTGTGCATCAACAAAATAAGGAAAGGTCTTTTCTCACAGGCCATATGTCTCCGGTGGAAGTTACGGGAGAAGATGTGTCAAAGGTGATATTGTCGCTGTTGACAAATGTCTGAGAAACTGTGTGACCTAGTGGGCAGTCCTGCTGCCGGATATTTCCCGTCTCTGGCAGAGAGTGAGAGGTTTCCTGGACACAGAGCGTGAAGATGTTGTCACAGAAGGAGCCATCAGCGCAGGGAGGTCTGGTCTGGCTTTCACAGCACTGCCCAGTGTCTCCTCTGTTGTGCTGTGGGTTCACGTAGGAATGGTAGGTCTGGAAGAACGTGTAGCTGGCCCGGCAGCACCCTGCAACCTGCAGTGTTTGAGAGAAAATAAACATGATTCACGTTTGCAATACCGATGGCTCGTTTGCGAGAGTTCGTTTGCAATAGCGAGATCGTAGTATACGGTTTTCAGTTCTCGGAGCACTGTCAGTAGACCCCTTACCGCTGCGAGTATGCATACGACGACGGTGACATTCATTTCAAGCCGATCGACTGCGATTTGGCGCGGCCGGGTTTTTATGCGACGTTTCACGCATGCGCGGTAATAACAATTTTGCGGGAATAATGTGTAATCATGTAGTGATGAAGTGATGTAAAATACTCAGGCGTCACTGTCAGGTGGGAGGTGAAAGTACTGATTACTGATAGACATAGTTCTGTGTCCCTCATCTCCACTGGATGTGGATCTATAGTCACTGTTTGCTGGTTCTCCAACATCACTGTTTGCTGGTTGTTCTTCCCCGCTGACAGTGGAGGGAAGCAGAGGTTGTTGTTCAAAGTGCTGGTCACCGCGGGGAGAGCTGCTAACTCCATGTTGCTGGCTGGATAGGGAGCCAGTGAGTGGGGAGTCGTCTCCAGGGAGGTAGACCGAGGCCAGGAGGTGTCCTCGTCTTGTGGGGTAGGCATAGAGAGGAGAGGACGGGGCGGCAGATCTTGTTGGTGAGCTGAGACTCTGGGTGGAGCGAACCAGTCCATAGAGAGGGTTTGTAAACTGGTGGTACTCTCTGCCATTCTGGTGTGCAGCGTGAGTGCCCATGGCATGGTCCACATACATTGGATTCTCCCCAATTAGCGGCTGGACGAGGGGGTGAACATCATCCCCTGCAAGAACATAGGAGAGATACATGATTATTGATTAGTAGTGGTTAATTAATGGGGTCCAACCTCTCTTCTTTCTCTTTCTTTTCTGTCGCTGTTGGTACAAGCAGTACCAAATTGCAATGATTAAGAATACTAGTAGGACAATTAGCACCACCAAGCCGGCAGTCACACCCCCAATCACACTTCCCATTTCACCACGACCTGTATGGAAAGGTGTATATATAAGGTCACAGTGTGAGGCGACATGAACTTGCCATTAGAATGGGAGAAAGGTTGGGTTTGCTGGTCCCAGTGGGAATCACTTGGTCCACTAGTGATTCAAGTACTGCAGTGCTAGCAGGAGTAACTATCCCAGTGGAGAAGGAGATATTGCTAGGCCCAGTTGGTGGTTGATCGGGGGAAGAATTGGTGGTTGGAGAGAAATCACTGGTTGGTTTTGGTCCACTGGTAGGCGGCTCAGTAGCTGGAGCAGTGGGTAGTGGAGTATTGGATGGTATTCCAATATTGGTAGCGACACTGGTAGGTGAGTGAGGGGAAGTGCTGGTAGTGTTGGGCAGTGCTCCGCTGGTACTAGGTGGCAGTGTGGGAGATGAACTGGTGTTGCAAGAGGGACCAGTGAAACCTTCACGACAGAGACACTGCCCCGGACTCCTACAGTAACCTCCAGTCTTAGCTGCATATGAAAGAGTGCCGTGATGTACTATACTGGAATCTATCAACTTTATAGCTACCTTATTTGACCAGAAGTAGTGCTGAAACCATAATAATATGTGGGAGGCCTAACTAGTCAAGTATCAGTAGTTCCGAGCACATGACTGGTCAGCCTACAAGCCGAGCAAGAGATGATCTAATGTATCAACATTCTGTGACACTCTCTCTGTGTGTTTTAACATGGTCACGTGTTTCTCAGTCACAGCAGGAAAACACAAATGATTATTTCTGGGTCTATCAAAACTCAACTCGTTCAAAAGAAACACACAGAGAGGTCACACTCACAGCAGTTGGAAGGTGGCGTGCAGATATCACACCATTCTCCAGTCCACCCGTCCACGCAGACCCAGCGGCCGTCGGAGCCACACCAGTGAGAGGATGGCTCTGGCTCACACTCTACACTGCAGTCTGCCGAAAACACAAGAGGAACTTGTATATACTAATCCAGGGGCACACACGTCTGAATTTGTTTAGCGAGAGGAATGCATACCGACAGTGAAACTAAAAAGGCAGGAAAATATATAGTAAATATACTTTGGCCCTTAGCTTGAGCACACGTGTTATTAGCTGAGGAATCTTTTCTTACATACCTGCTCCGAAATAGCCCTCACTGCATGATACTGTGACAGAGAGAGTGATGGACGCTTGCCTGGAGGAAATAGATTGAAACATGTGAGTGAACCCCTTTAATTAGTGCAGGGATTGCAGCACAGTATACCTTCCTGAGAGTGCGAGTGAACCATTGGTGGGTTCAGTAACTCTGAACCAGCCGATGAACTCATCATCAGAGTAGTGATCATTGTCATAAACATCGACTGTTACACTCAGCCCACCCTGCAGAGATATGATAGTTGCAGACATTTCATTCTTACTATCTACAGTATAGCGGAAGCTTGCAATTTCATAGTAGTGAGCTGGAATTAGCAGGGGTATTCAGTATCGACTACTTTGCCTACTGGAGCACCTCTAATGCCAATATTCATTGCCTTGGTCTCTCCAACCATCTCTTCCTGGGAAGCTACGGTACATTTCCTCTGCAATGGTGTGCAGTAGCTATATACTTACATTCCAAGATCCATCTACAGTGAAGTTGATGGGATTAGGTAGTCGGCCCACGTGAGAGTCAAAGGTTATGGAGTCACTGTCCCCCACCTCTCCAGTGTCCCGGCAGACCTCCTCGCTTCCTTCTCCCAGACACACAAGGAAGTAGTTGTCACAATCTCCCCAACAGCTACCCCACACAGCGATGAAGTCGCAACAGTCGCCGCTATAGTGTCGGTGGCTCGGGTTCGAGTAGAAGGAGATGAGGACACTGACATTGTAGCCTCCATTCGCCTCCAGCTGAGCATAAACAGCAATAATGGTGAGATACGAGCGTCATTCAACCAGACCCGCCCAAGAAAACTGCGGCTAGCTCGCAGGACGCAGCCAGTGTGGCTAACTGGAAAGAGGAGGGTCTGCTCACCGCGTGGAGGGCCAGAAACAGCAGATTAGCTACCAGACGAGCGGCGGGCTCCATTCTTAGCCGAGTATAACCGTCCACGCCAGCACACCCCAGAATTATAGTAAATTATGATTATGGACCGGAAATAATACTAGCAAGGATTTATGTGACGTCAGATGCAGGCATGACTGCATTACTACGTCGTCTGTTGCAGCCACAGAGCACATCTCTCCACCTTCTCCTCCCCACACCCTCACCTCTCACATCTCCACACTCCTGCATAATATTGATTTGCACTTTATATCCATTGTTCTAGCTGAAACGTGTGACACAATTAATTCTTACCGAATGTTGAGTGTGGGTTTGAGGCTCCGCCCCCTGAATGTGGTCTGAGAGGCTGTCGTCAGTAGGATGGGCCTGTCCGTCAGCTGGTGGGCGTGGCAGGGAGGAGCAAGAGAGGGAGAACTGGCGATGAGGAAGGGAGAGAGATACATGTCCGTGCTCGTCTAGAGATAGAGGCTGGGCAGCATGCACCGAGACCTGCAGAATGTCGATATTTGTGAGCCGGAAGAGGATCATGTGATTGTCAGGTGACCAGTGTACCTGTGAAGCTAACGAGAGGGCGGAGCTTGGTCTTCGGAGACCGTAGTTATGGAGAATGTGGGCACACTCGCTGTGACCTCTGACCTCCGCATGTTCCACAGCCGTCAACCCATCACTGTCTTTCAAAGACCGATCCACCCCTCGTCTTGAAAAGCCCACAAACAAATTAGGGGATACCCCTATAGTAATTAGTTTGCCCTACCTGAGAAGCAGCTGCAAAACGGACGGTTGATTAGCTGCGGCTGCCCAGTGAAGAGGAGTTGTTCCTCTACTGTCCCTACCATGGAGGTCACAGCTGTAGGTAGAACAGACCATATGTTCATTGGCCTCTCTCCAGAGTGGTGCCTGTTACCTCCGAGCAGTGATGAGGGTCCTGACACAGTCAGTGGAGCCCTCGGCGCAGGCGTAGTGGAGAGCGGTGCGACCTTTCTCATCTCGATGGTTGACTGCCCCCTCGCTTTACATCCAGAATTGCCTTCAGAGACAAGACACACACAGAATTGAGCTATACAGACACCGTGAGATAGGCCCCATACTTTGATGCAGGCAGAGGAAGAGCTGAGAACAGCGTGTGTGAGAGCAGTTCGTCCCTCAGAGTCCTGGAGACTGACGTCAGCAGCAGCGGAGAGGAGGAGGTTGGTGTGGGCCGGCTGGTTGCACAGCACCGCCCAATGGAGTGGGGTAAGACCCTCCTTGTCCTGGGGTTAATTGAATACATTGTACACTGGTGAAGTGATGGAGTATGAACTTACGGGAGTGTTAATGATGGTGGGTGTGGCTTGTCGTTGGAGAGCCTTCAGACAGTTGATGTTTGGTGTTTTCACTGCCCAATGGAACACAGAACGGCCCTCCGAGTCCCTCATACAGATATCTGCTCCGTGTCTGCACGGGAGAACTCATTAACTAAGGATAAAGATAGGGGTCTCCCCCAGCTTACTTGAGCAGAATCTTCATGCACTGAGGTTTGGCTTGGAATGTGGCCCAGAGGAGTGGAGTCAGACCTGTGCTGTCTTGAGCGTTGACCTTTGCACCCAGGTGTAGCAGAGTGTCGCACATGCGTGGTTGGTTCCCGAGGACGGCATACATGAGGGGAGTCCGACCTCCGTGGTCTCGGTAGTCTACTCCATACTGAATCGCCTGGAGTCAGTGATGGCGATGCACTGCAGTTATCTTCTACACACTATATCTGACAATTCACTTAATTGAGTGTAAAGTCGAGTATCTAACAACAGTGTTTTAAAATGAAGGGCATTGTGACCGACCAGTTTCTTGAGCTGTGAGGATTTGACTCCCTCCATCGCGGCCATGTGGATCTCCTCACGACTCGTGTACTCACTCATGTTCCTTCTCCCCCCTCCCCCACTCCCCTCTGCCCCCACCTGAACAACAGACGTACAGCCGAGTGTATTATTGGACCCACTCACAACTTTCTTGAAGATTATGCGTAATCTAATGTAACGAGCAATGCTTAAAGCTGTTAGTGTATTAGGCTCTAGTTTCTGGAGCCTAAATGCAAACACTCAGTGAGAGGAGATGACTTTATACCTGCCCTCTGTGGAAAGAGTGATCAACATCCTCATATGGAGGGGCTTCCTCCTGAGGAGTTTGGTAGTTCTCATTAGGGACTCCATTGTCTAGAGAGAAAGGATTGCATGAATCTGCATGCATAGTGATAATCGCAGGGGCTGACTCACATGGAAGAGAATTTCTGTGCATTGATAGCATCCTACTCCTCATCACTGCAGAGGAAAAGAAGTAGTACATATTATGTTTGAAGGAATGTAATTACAGAGTCGTGTACCAGGGTCAAAGGTATCTCGGGCCTCTTGGCTGAGGTCAGAGTCAGAGAGAGTTATCGATGATGATGATGTACTGAGGCTGCCCCTGGCAATTGGTGGGACTGGAACCGGATGAGGTGGGGATGTGAGAGGGTGGAGATGTGACGAGGGGATGATCAGGTGTCGGTGGATCGGGACTGGAGAGGGGTTGGGGGAAGGAGCAGGCGAACCAGCATTGGGCGTGAGGCTGCCAGGGGTGGAGGGGTGAGACGGAGAGGGAGGGATGGAGGGCAGAGCTGACAGAGGAAGACCAGGAGTTAGCGGAGTAACAGAGAGTTGGTTACGTTTCTTTGGAGTGGAAGTTTGGAGGGGAGTGGGTCCATAGCTGACGGAGGCCGACGGGAGAGGTGGGTGTGGCCTGATCACAGGAGGGAGGGGTCTGGAAAGACCCAGAGTGTGTGGCAGAACTGGCTTAGGGAGAGGAGCTAGCTGTTTGAGAGGTATTGGTGGTCTGGGGAGGGTGCTGAGTGTGGGGTGGGAGGTTGTGAGGGTGTGGGGGTGTTTCGGAGAGAGGAAGAGTGGGAGGAGCCAGTGGGACTGCTGGGACGGTGTGTTAGGGTGTGTGTCTCTGAGACAGCAGAGCTGACTTGGCTGGAGCTGGCCAGAGATGAGTGTTGGTGGTGGGAGTGGGCAGACGAGGGCCGGAACGGTACTGAGCGAGGCACAGGTCGCGGAGGAGGAAAGACTGAGTGGGGAATAATGTGTGGAATATCTCTCAGAGGAGGCGGTGGAGGTCCCGAGACTGTGGTACTCGGCTGACTGAACGCATCATCTGACAGACCTGCAGATGAGATGAGAGATGAAAGAGTTTTGTGTTTCAGAGAGAGAGAGTGAAGGAATCTTACTGCTGTCATCTAGAGAGGATGAGGAGCTGTGTGTGGTGGACGGCTGCGGAGTAGTCGTGAACACCGGCAGAGGACTTATCTGTCAGAATACAGCCACAATAATTAGCATGCTGATTTGCATGATCTGAGGCTTACAGGCTTCGCCAGTTGAGCCGGTCTGGTAAGAAAAGGCCTGGGAAAAGCTGGAGCTTTACTGACAGGAACATTAGTACTTGTTGGGAGAGGACTGCAAAAACATTAGAAACTACTTTACTGGTGAAATTCAGCACATTAGCTTACGTTTGCTGTTTTTTCCTGCTGATTCCGTTGTGCATCAGATGAGTCTCCAACTTGTCAAGGCTCCCCAGGAGATGTCCACAGGATGATGTTAGCTCAGAAAACCTCTGGCCATTGATCTCCACATATTCCTTGTCCTGTTCCTGGCCCCTTTTCCATGATCGAGGCTCCTCACTGACCCCCACCTTCCCGCACACTTTCTTCTTCATATCGGCAATCCTCTCCAGAGTCTTCCCCAAATCTGACTCATTGATTTGAGTCACTGAGACCCGGCAGTAGTTTTTGATCTGAGCTGCTTCGTGCAGTACCTGCCAATCAGAGTTCAATACATTGGAGTACATAAGAATATGCAGCTAAACCTAATTGCTCTTCATTACCCTCGGCGCGCATGCGCAGCGAGGGTACAGTAGTTTGTGTGTTTGTCTCCTGGCTGGAACGTCTGTTCGTCCCAGAAACGATACCATCTACCCAACGGGCGACGAAGGTCAGAATATAAAGGCGGTTTTCTCTGAAAACGCTCCGTTGCTAAGCTAGAGCAGGAAAAAGCCAATATGCAAATACACAACGGCTTTCTACGGCATGATAGATCCGCGTGCTCTGCGTACCTCGGAGGCACCAGAAGATGCAACGCAGGGCGTGTATCGCCTCTCGCGTGCTATCTAGTAGTGTAGTTAGCCCGCGTCAGACTCTGCGCGAGCTGGCAAGAGACCACGAGTAACAGCTAAAACTAACCCAGCCCACCAATTAGTGGTACGGCGCATGCGTTTACTTACGCGCGCGCGTCACAGTGCGCCGAGGGTTTGCACTTCACTTCTTTTCTGTTTCCCCATTCGATCAAGTAATGGTGGGGGTCTGATGGATAAGCACCCCCTCTCTTGATTGTGAGGTCCCTGGTTCGATCCCTGGGGGTGCGCGCCTTTTTTACAATGATGTAATAGGAGTGTTGGCTGTTGGTATAAGTGGAACGTTTTTTCATTACCTCTCCAGGCCAGCCCGAGTGGCTAGGTGGTTAGAGTCGTGGGGACTGACACCATAGGTGCCCGGTTCGAATCCCGATCCCGCACTAAAGTGTCAGGTGGTCCAGAGCATTGGCTGGGAACAGCTCTGGTTCCTCCCCTTACCCACAAATCTACCACTGACCCACGTTTCTCAAAGGGCAGCGTACAGTTCGGCATAGCACTGCGTCCGTAGACGTCTGTCTGGAGAGATGAAGGGCTGGGCGTTTTTTTTAAATTTTTTCAACCTTGGGTTTTAAAATTATTTTTTTTGCACTAAACAATCCACGGGTAATACGAAAATTAATAGAGAGATGAAAGGTTGGCAATTTTTCAACCTTATATATTTTTTGACCTCAAACAGATATAGGGCTGGCCATTTTTTTCCAACCTATTGATATTAATCCATGGAAATGGTGCATAACATGCTGTTCTTTTTGATGCATGGTCAAGACCATCAATTGTGGTGGTGCCACACTTGTGTATGGGTTCCACATTTCTATAGAATGTGCCGAGGGTTTGCACTTTCAGTGCTTTTCATTATTTCAGTGAAACTCCCCAGTTAACACAAGTAAATTCAGATTTTCCCTTAAGTAAATGAACAGTGTTCTACCTTCAGACATCTCCTGGTCCTCTCCTGTGAGCCCTCACCCAGAGAGACTGTCCCTAGCAGGACAGCCTCAGAGCTGCCTCCGAGACAAGGTTTCAGGAGTTTTGTGAGAGGTGAGCTGGAGAAAAGACCAGCTACAGCTGTGATGCCTTGAGAGGGAAGGGTAGTCAATATCTGGTGGAGAGTCTGGACACCACTGTCAGGAGATGGCTGATTTGCCTGGATCAGTTCTATGCTGTGTCCTGCCATATCAACCACTGTGATCTGAGACGTTGTGACACTCTCTTCCCCTCTCCCCTCTCCCCTTACACCCACCACTCGCTCCACTAGCAAAGAAACAAAGGCATGGCTGCAGTGAGACTTGTACGACTGAGGATTTGGACGGTGGTCTCGCCTCCCGCCGCTGGCGTTCCGCATGAGTTTTGCTCTCTCTGTCAGTCTCGCGAGCTCAAGAGTAGAGGAGACCTGGTGAACGGCCAGGGAAGGAACGGAGTAGCTGGAGGTGTCTGAGCTATTCTCCACGACGTCCAGTCTTCTGCGACGAGAGTCAAACAGATCAGTGACTCTCCCGTCCTCAAACACGTGGAAGAAGGAGGCGGAAACTCTGCAGACGCGGTCCTGGGAAACGAGGTCGAATACCTGGTCTCCGAGACGAGCCACGATCCCCCTGGCCCCTCTCCGCAGTCGCGAGATCTGTGCCGAGGGTCCGAACACTGTATGAGTCTTCCCAGTTCCCGACGGACCGTAGGCCACGATGAATAGGTCGTGTCCAGCTTCCAGAGCCGAGGACACCAGTGGGGAGATGGTTCTGGTATACAATTCGTCTCCTCCGCCTCTCTCACGGAGAATGGCGTCGAACGAGTAAGACTCTCCGCCATCCGAGGTTTCCAGACTGTCTCCCTCCACCCTCCACACCTTCTCCTCTTCTGAGGGACAGCAATTCACCGCCACTCGAAAGTGACGGCTCATGTTCATGCAAACGTCTGCTTGCTGTCGAAGTGTGGGTGGGGCTCGTTAATTTATGTCGATGCTGCTCACGTGTGCATGTAATGTGATCTCCTCCCCTCTAGGGCCGGCCCTCTGCCCCTCTTGTTTTCTGCACGCAGCATGTCTGGCCTGGAGATCGTGGACATCGATCGTTGGGTGGAGGAGAACAAGTCCTCCTTCGTCCCTCCAGTCTGCAACAAGCTAATGTGAGAGACCACGACGCCCGACGACCGTGCTGTAGCTAGGTATATTCCATTGTCCAGGTTCGGAGCTGGGCAGCTGAAGATAATGTTCATAGGCGGACCCAACCAGAGGAAAGACTACCACATTGAGAGGGAGAAGAGGTTTGGGATCTGAGTTAACTCCAGCACTCTCCCAACACTCCTTTCCTCACACAGCTGTTCTACCAGCTGAAGGGACCTATGTGTCTCAAGGTCGTTGAGAAGGCAAAACACAAGGATATTCCAATTGCAGAGGGAGAGGTTGGTACAGTAATGGCTGCCACTCTGTCTCCTCATTCACAGTCCTCTCGACCAGATGTACCTGCACCCAAGTCGCATCCCCCACTCCCCACAGAGATATGGAGGCACAGTCGGTCTGGTAAGACCAGCTCTCTCTACCAAATACAGGACACCTCTCTCCATATAAAGACACTTGGTCTAATGCATTATTGTAGTATGCAACCTCCGAGTAAAGGACACCTCCTCAGAGGTTTCACTACATACCAGAATGATGAGTGTTGTTCCTTCGTGGCCAGGTGATAGAGCGAGAGAGGTCCGAGGATGAGGTGGATGGTCTCAGGTACTATGTTGATGGGACCATCAAACCACTCTGGGAGGAGTGGTTCCATTGCGACGACCTTGGCACACAACTGGGCCCCGTCATTAAGAAGTAATGACTTATGCATTCACTCATAACCCGAATAGGTTGTAATGCGAGTTATTTCTCATCTAACCACTTACTGTCTGACAGGTACTTTGCATCAGAAGAGCATGCAACAGGAAAACCTCCAGAAGGCATATACAATACGTTCTCTTGCTGAGTCCTCATGTAGGTCTCTTTCTCTCTACTCAGGAAAAGTGTTTCCACCTCCTCCTGTGAAGATTGACACAACCACACCGTCCCATCCTCCCCTCAACCTCGCCTGCTGGATGGTGGATAATAAGGAGGAGATTAACAAGAGAGGGAGCAAAGTATTGTACTCCAGAGGAGAATTCAAGGTTGGCGTCGTGTTGGCTATTCAGTCCGACGACAATACTTGTGTGGTGTGTGTTTAAGGTGACGGTGTGGGGAGGTGATGTGGTGCAAGAGGGAGGTGGAGGAGATGGAGAGACGTTTCTATGGCAACTGAAGGGTTCAGCGGAGGTCACCTGTGACCGTGGTTCTGGGATTCTCAGCAGACACTCCTGCACACTTATTCAGGCCGGAGAGAAGTAAGTACTGTCTCTCCTGAATTAAGTTTACATTTTCCATCTCACTGATTCTTTTGCCCCATTGGTGTCTTGATTAGAGAGTTCCACTGTAGTTCATTTGCACGATATATTCATGACAGAAAAACCATAGCAACCATCTAACTTTTGAAAATTTTAAGGTTCAAAGTTCTCCGGAAGCCTGGTTCAATGGGGATAACAGTCACCACTGACCCTTTTGCCAACAAATAGACTCTGACCTCTACCGTTGGAACTCTGTAATAGGCTGTCAATATTTTCATTACCTGAAATAGAATATTTATATGCTGATATAATACTGGCTAAAAAGACGTTCATCGATAGTGAGAGGATGAATTGAAAATCATGACGTCTTGTTCCACCATGACTTCCTATCCACCTCTGTCATACATGACATGAGGAACTCGAAGTAGACCCCACCCATGAGCCAGAGCGGAGCATACTCCATGGTGATGAGTCCCATGACGTCATAGTCAAACTGGGAGTAATCCCAGGGGCAGGCCCCGAACAATCGGAGGACAGCTCCTGTGAGGAACTCCCAGCAGTAGGTCAATGGGATGTAGAGGAAACAGCGAGCCCAGAGCGGGACTCGGCGAGCTATCATCATCTCCCTCAGCAGTTCGGCTCCGAAGAAAGCCCCCAGACCGTAGATGAGGAACGACCAGAGAGAAGATTGCCCCATTAGTCGAGGGTTTCCCCCCGCAACCAATTCCCATATTGCTGTGAACACCACCTCAACGAACACGCCGTGAACGCCCCAGAAATAGAGTCTGTACTTCCAGGGAAGCATGGCTTACACCTGGCAGCTTGGGCGGGCAGGAGAGAGCGGCGCGGAGGAGGATAATCGACGACGCGTGTGTACGTGTGTACGTACGTGGGGGAAACTGCGCATGCGTACCCGCGCTCGGGCAAAACGACTGCGCATGCGTATGCGCTCGTGCGTGAAGATGTCTCGAGGAGGGGAGCAAGGAAACAGCGGCAGCAGCCAGCAGAGTGCCTCTGACGCGGAGTTTAGAGCGTCTTTCTCTCTCTTACCTCACGTCAACAACATCCTGGCCAGCCTCAGCCAGTCAGACCACTCTGCAGTCGAGAAAACAGTGGGTTATACCATGAGATATAGTGCTCCATTGTGATATGCTCTAACTATGGCAAAGGTTAGTGAGCTGGATGCTCAAGTACGCCGGTGTCAGCAGCTACTGAGCAACTGTCCCTATCTCGATCTCTCAGAAGACGAGCAGAAAACACTCCTGGAGAGAAAGAAGACACTTCTGCAAGAGAAAAGGTGTGCAGTCATGGTTGGTGCCTCAGAAACCTTTAACCCCCTCTCCCTCCCCCTTTCCAGTGAACTTCTGGTTAGTTACACAGACTTGGCTGTGATTGTTTCCAGATGACATCATGACTTTCATATGTACATTTTATGACATTCAGAATAATATGGTGATTGCATCATTATGAGGTAATGATTGTCAGCAGTAGGTCAGAAGCTGCTAGTTCTTTCTGTCAGCGGAGGAGTGAATGCCAGAGCCACGTACTTCTGCTGGATGAACTCTGACCTCTCGGCTCTTTAGAACAGCATGTGGAGGGAAAAGTGATGCTGATAAAAACTGAAGATGTGTGTAATTATAAGCACAAGATCTGGGTGTCTGAGACTTGGACCCAGGAAACAGTTTGATGAGCTCACTTTGTGGATAGTGTGGTGGGTTTCCTAACACTGGCGTGGGCCCCGGTCCCTAGCGTTGCCTCGTAGTAGCAGTTGGCCTTCTTATTCCCTTGTCTCACCATGAACTGTAGGACAAGACATAGAGATAGGACCTTATACTGGCAGAGTAAAGGGGTACGTACGTTGACGTGTGTGTCTGTCCCACTGGTCCAAATTGAGAGATCTGACTTTAGACACATGCACACCCAGTCCCCTGTGGACACCAGAGCACTGGATACACAGCACCAGACCCAGGTTAACACTGGCCCACTCCACAGCTGGGGTGGAGAGAGGGAAGAAGAGATGTGGGTGTGTGTGTGCAAGAAGTTGAGTATATACCGGAGCTGGAGCAGTCGGCACAGGTGAGGTTGCCGGGGATAGCCAAGATGATGCTCATGGCGTCAGAAACAGTCTCGGCCTCAGTCTCACTACCTCCAGTCCTCTCCATCCTCACTGCCGACAGCTGCCGGCCGGAGGAAGACTTTATTGCCTGTGCCGTGCAGTTCTGGAGAGTTCGGACCCACGCTTCTTGGTCCTGGGAGCTGAGGGCCTGGAACAGATGCTCTGAGGTCGGGGATATTACCTGAACGAGGGAGGGAGAGCCGAGGGAGAAGAGGGGAGTATATACGAAGGGAGAAAGGAGGGTGGAAGCACATCAAGCATTGTTGGTCAAGTATGACATGTTTTGATAAGTGTAATAGGCCAACCCAAGAGGGACATTCTAGAGTGTGTGTGTGTGTGGCCGGCTGTGCGTACTCTGAAGCAGTAGTTGCGATCGATGAAGTCTGGAGTGCAGAGTTTAGTGGAACAGAGCATCAGGTTCTCCAGACACCAGGGGGCGTGGTCTTCCTCTCGCTGCACCTTAACCTCTCCATTCTCCTTGTCCACGACACACCACTGTGGAACAACATTATGTAATGATGACATCACACTTTAACCTCCCACCAAAACAGAGTCCATAAGGCAGCTGTCAACCATCTCCCCCTGTTCAAAGGCCAGGAAATAAACTCTCCATGGGAAAAACAAACTTATCATTATCCTAATACACAACACACATGGACAAAATGTAAACGGCAACGTGGGTTTTAGGTTTTAGGCAAAGAAAAGCAAAACAACATGATCACATGCAGAAAAACCTATTCCTCCAACACTGTGCTAAAGGGACAGTAAACTGCACACACAGGAGAAAGCTCACAATGTGTGTCCACTCATATCTGTTGTCAGTGTGCAGTCGTAGCCAGAGGTAGCCAGTCATGCTCCAGGAGGCGGGAGGAGGGCTCACTAAACTCTGCAGCTCCTCGTTTCGCAGCTCGCTGCCCGACCAATCCCTCGTCAGCGGAGACGAGATCTGGAGGCGTTGTTGGAGGTGTGGCTCTTCCAACGAGGTCTGCGGCTTCTTCTTCCTCCGACCTTTGTCCTCCGTCTCACAATGATTCTCCGAACTCCCTCTCAACTCCTCGCGAGTGTCCGGGACATCTGAACTCTCACCTACGACCTCCGCACTCCCGTCGTGTGATTTTGAGTGCAGTAGCCATGAACGTTTTTTCTTCTGTTTGGACCTTGGGCTGGAGTGGGCGGAGTCTCGCAGCGGGGAATCCCCTCTTTCCCTCTGAGACCGTGTCACTAGTGGAGACTCTGTCGCGGGGTCGTCGGGGGTAGATGCTGTTCGACTCTTCTTCTTCTTTGCCTTCTTCTTCTTCCCTCTGATGCCACCCAGGACGGCAGCGAGGGGACGGAAGTGGGAGGCGTGGCCAGAAGGTCTTCCCAGGAACTCTTCCATGGCCTCCGCGGCTGCCTCTGTCGTGTCCTCTGAGAACATCACCACCATTCCGGAAGGGGGCGGAGTCTCGCCCGACGAGGAGGTAGAGCTGGGACTCTCCCCTCGGTTGCTATGGATACGGCCGTTGCTGCTGGAGGTCTGAGTGTCGGACAAGAGGTCAGGGTTCGAACTGGAGCGCAGGACCTTTCTCCGCCACTCTCTCTGGAGTGAGACAACAGTCACCACACTATCATTCTCTCTCTAGCCTTGGGAACTTTGGTATCAGGGGAATTAGAATATTAATAGTCCGCTTGTACAAAGTCACCCCCACTAAAACACAAATCTAATTTCCTAATGGCTCTAAAATTGCAGGTTTCACCCCCATGATTTCCCCACTTAGCAACGGGTCTGTACCTTCATTCGCTCGCTCTCAGTGAGGACGTCTTCCCCGACAGTCTCCCTCCTAGGGAACACGGGGCTGCTGTCAGCACTGCCCCCGTCCCGAGAGTTGGTGAATGTGGCTCTCCGCTGGCCCTCCTCTCCTCCGAGGTGCTCCCAGTCTCCCTCTCCCGACGGCTGGGGAGGTGGGGGAGGGAACTCTGATCGGGAGCCGTGGAGGTACTACCACTATACTTACCACTGAACTCCCTGCTTTGATATCTTTACCTATAATAGAGGGGCGGGGGAGATTCAACATCACCATCTTCTTATCCAACACACCTGGGGGCAGACCCCTCTCCAGATACTATAGAACACTGAAGTACAGTGCTTTTCTATGCTTTTAGTGAGGCCGTATAACAGAGGGCTCCGGCTTCCAAATTGTAAATAAGCCAAATTTCAGCTTTCACATGCCACAACAAAGGGATGTGAGCAGAGGGACATGGACTTTGAAATTATGTCAATGGGTCAACAAACGGAGCTCAGATTGTGAAAATGCTCCCTCCAGTGGACACACAATTGTAACTCACTCTGCGAGGGGAACATCCTCCTCATCATCTGACGACCGGCATATAGCGGCGACATCGCCATCCCTGACCTGTACACAAAACAGACAGCACAGCAGTGGCTTCCTCAAACTGAAACCTAAACATTCACTACGACACACATTGCAGGGGTGTGTGGTCTTCTCACCAGGTGGGTGTGGTCTCGGCAGCATCGGGGCAGAACCCAACCTTGTGTTGGTACTGAGCCAAGACGTTTTTCTTGACGGCCACGTGGAGTTTGTCCCAAAGTTTCATCTCTCTCTCGTGGTGAGCCTTCCAGGTCTTGGTCTGGGCAAACACCTCGTTCACTCTCGGCTCTAGGTCCTTTAGCACCTGTGCAGACAGAGAGGGGGATGCCCCTTGGGTAATTGTTCTCAGATTGAGTTGGGTGTGCGAGAGAGAGGAGAGAGGAGAGGGAGAGGGAAAGGAAGGGGAGGGAAAAGTACTGCCAGGTGTGTGCATGCAGCATCTGTGGCAGGTCTGCCAACCTAATCTCTTTGTTACTATTCCTTGTATCCGCAATGCACCACATTACCATAGAAAATGTATGGGCCAACATGTCTGTAAAACCCAGAAGAAGTTGGTCTGTGTGTGTGTGTTATACCCAACGAAAAGAGTTCCTTGTTTAAGAAAGAGAGGGGGAGTTGGGAGACGGTATACATACCTCAGTGCAGTAGTTGTGATAGGCATACTTGCTAAGGAAAAATTCCACGATCCTCCTTATGAAACTCATCTATTGGAAGAGACGGTATCAAGTTCCACAGTTGAGCACAGAGCAACAACACAACAACACAACAACACAACATGGACACACAACACGGACACAAAACACATGCACACACCGACTGGGGATTAACATTCCTCTCTTTTGTCTGAATGAATAGACCTAACACAGATCTCTCATCTGTTTCACTGTGGCTCTCTCAGGACAATGGCTCACAACAGGGGCAGAGAAACAGACACAGAGGTAAAGGGAAACATGATACTTTGTAGAAAAAACTGTAACACTAGTCACTATATTTTCCAAAAGTTTAGGTCCCTAACTGAGACTGTACTGTACACAACTTGACAATGAGAGGGAAAGTAGTGGTAGATGGCACAAGTAAGGTGGATCCAGGGTGGTTACCATGTCGATGGTGTGGGCCTGTCTCAGAGAGATGACAAATTTGGAGAGGACCAGTTGGTAGGTCTTCTGTGAGGAGTAGCAGGCCTCTGCGAGGGCAGGCAGCAGCATCTTCTGCAGTGTGGGGGAGGTTGACACTGCTAGTAAGGAAGCTGGGAAGGTGTTCTGTGAAGACCTATGTTCTAAGGCCATGGGAAGTGGGGGAGTTACAACGGAGAAATGTAAAACTCACGTCTGTCAGTTTTGAGGAGTGTCTGCAGGCACATAGTTTCTCGGCCGCCTTTAGCTGCTCCCTGCGATACTCCAACACTTGTTGATGCAGAGTCTGGGGCACCAGGGGAGGGGAGTATCATCGAGGCAAAAACTCTGTCTCGCTGTCTTACAGTTAGTCCGAGGAAGTTGTTTGCCAGCTCTCTGATTGGATTTGCATTCAGCATTTGAGTCTGGCCCAGAAAGGCCTCGTAGTAGCACCAAATCTTGTTCAGCGAGTCCACAAACTATTGATGTCCAGAGAGTGTGTGTGTGTGTGTGTCCATGGGGAAAACACAGGGTGTAGGAAGCTCGCTAGCATACTTTAGGCTGCACGTAGCGAGTCTCACCTGCTCGATATGAGAGCTGATGGTGTTGGCGGAGTCGTTGCGACAGACGCCAGCCACACGCTGGAGACTGGAGATGACGGAGCTGGCCGCCTTGTAGTGCTCCATGCCAGTCTCGTGGAACTTGTCGAACGAGTCAGCCAATGCAGACAGCCCATTGCCCAGCTGCACCGGTGGAGAACAGTGACCAGTGCACGTGGAAACTTGGCTCTGGTGAAGTGTTGTCTACCGCTAACGAACGATAGTCTTACGTTCTTGGTCTTGTCGGCCCAGGCCTCCAGACTGCGTCTGAACTGAGGGTGGTCCTGGAACGTGGCGTCATACTGAGGGAAGTCGCAGAGGTTCTGCAGGTCCTCCGGAATCGTCGCCATCTCTTCTCCACTTCTGCTAGCTGCGAGCGTATACTTTCCGATTTCGCGCATGCGCATAACTGCGATTCGGCCACGCCCACGCACAAAACCCACAGACATACACAACGATTGATGATTGCTCAAAATACTAAATACATAGGTCAACAGGAGGACTAGAGGAGGGAGGAGGGTGTGGGAGGTGAGAAAGTCACCAGAGAGCGAGTGAGCCAGAGCATCATGACTGGCTGGAGAAGAGCCATCACCAGCAGGAAGTAGTTGCGGAGCTTGCTAGCTCCTTCAACCACGTGAGGCTGAATTGTCAGTCTCAGACTCTGGATCTGTAGCAGAGAGGTAGACTATTGGGTTCATAATGCAGCTGGAGATAGGAATATACCATGAAGTAGGTGATTGCCAAAGCAGTGTAGCCGAGAGCACAGTAGTAGACCGTTGAACCTCCAACCAGACTCAACCCAACACTCACTATCATACTATAGTGATAGAGGAGGGGCCAGTCACGTGACTATCACGTGATGCACACAGCCCCTGAGGAGAGTCTCACCTGACGTACTTGTAACCACAGAATGATATGATGTCCAGCCAGCGAAGTTGCGAGGTGACGGCAAGCAGGTAGAGACACAGCCAGAGAAGGAGGACCTCGGCAGCGAGCCAGGCCAGCAGAGAGCTGCCCGCCACTCCCAGAGCCTCGGGAGTGAATCTGCTCTGAGTCCCCAGCACCACTCCATTCAGCAGAACAAACGTCACAAGTCCCATCACTGCAGAGGAGAAGACAACAAACACTCAAATAAGGACCTGTAAAGTATCCACCAATTATCATGTTTCTCTCTTTCTTTGAAAGAAAAGAAAAGACATATAGCATGTGTACATACATATAGTTGGACAGTCAGAGATCAGTCTGAACATAAAGTTTAACCTCATCCAGTATTGAAGTATTACGGACTGACCAGGAATGTATAGGTCCGGGGCATTGATGTCATCTTTCGGAGACGTCCTCCCAGATTCCCCATACCCCACCATCCAGTTCCTGTGGGTGTAGGGGAAGAGGAGGAGGGACAGCTTCTTGAGAACATAGCTCGTGTCCACTGCAAAGTAGGTCTTGAGGTTGGTGATGGCCAGCAGTCTGTTGATCTGCAGGAGGGACGACACCATTACCAAGTACACACATACAGTGAGTGTTGGGGACTCACTCCTTTGTTCACGTAGGCCTGGCCTTGCTGGGCAAACTCACTGCCGTACTGCACGGCGGCTGCCGACACCATGGGGTTGTTGATAAGGTGCTGAGCTGCCGCCATGGACGGGGGCGGAGGGAACTGCGTAAGTCCGCTGTGAACACGTGAACGGTGTGACAGATGTCGAAACGGGATATTCTGCTCACCTGGTGTCCTGGAACAGTGGAGCATTGGGTGGGGGAGCACTAGCAGGCACTCCATACCCCTGGTGCTGTCCTGGCCCCTGAGCCATCTCTGGGAACGAAGAAGTCAACTCTCGTACGCGTATTCTAATTGAAGCGCACCCAGCGAAGGAAGGGGGCGGAGCTTGACTTAGCGGCTGATCACCAGGAGTTTCCCCAAATGCCGATATAATATACGCCTCCGTTTGACTAGAGAAGATGAAGAGGTGAGGGAGAAGGATGGCAGACGACGCCGTCGTCCCTACAGCGAAGAAGAGGCGGCGAGAAGATTACGGGGAGGTGGTCTATCCCATAGTTGACTGTGAGCAGGTTGACTCCAGCGCTGTGACCGGCTGCACGTCTCCTCTTCCTCTGTCCAGCTCCAAACGAGACCAAAGTAGGACCTGAGGACTTTGAGTTGCTGAGTGTGCTGGGGACGGGGGGCTATGGGAAAGTGTTTCTGGTCCGGAAGATCTGCGGGGCAGACAGAGGCAGTCTGTATGCCATGAAGGTGAGCCAATGTTGCTGCAGACTCCCCTCACCAGCTGGGCCACAGGTACTCAAGAAGGCTGTGATAGTCCGCAAGCGAAAGGTGATGGAGCACACACTCACTGAGCGTGCCGTCCTGGAAGCAATCAGGGACTTTCCCTTTCTTGTCACGCTGCACTACGCCTTCCAGACGGATGCCAAGCTCCACCTCATCATGGGTGAGCCCCTGTAATCCCTGGAGTCTATAGCTCCATTTACTCACTCATTCTACTTTGGTGTTCCAAAGCATCTTCTTAAAACTAGTTGTTTTTTACCCGTTCTTTTATTAAAGTGTCAGTGAAAAAGAGTTAATAATCACCTCCATTTCTCCCTCAGACTACATCTGTGGAGGAGAGATGTTCACCCACCTGTACAGGATGGGACCGTTCTCTGAGCCTCACACCAGGGTCTATGTGAGCGAGGTCACGCTGGCTCTGGGTCACCTCCATTCTCTGGGCATCGTCTACAGAGACATCAAACTGGAGAACCTTCTCCTGGACAGAGAGGGGCACGTGGTCCTCACCGACTTTGGTCTGTCAAAGGAAATGCTTCCTGAACAGGTTAGTTCTCTCCGTCTCTGGGAAATGCTGGCACATTCCTCAAATGTTTTGACTCACTGCACTGATACTCATGGTAGTGATGAATAAAGGTTTGGTAGTCCCCTATAAATAGAAAAGAGAAAACACAAGTTTTAGGGTGTTATTCACTCTGTAATTTTGAACAAGCAATCAGCAAATATGTCTTCGATTTTCATGTTTAACAAAGTCCCTGTAACCCCCCTCCCAATCTCCCTGTATCCCCTGTTTGTCCAGGTGACCCACTCCTACTGTGGGACAGTGGAGTACATGGCACCCGAGATCATCCAGGGAGGTCAGGGAGGTCACGACCTCGTGGTGGACTGGTGGTCTCTTGGAGTCCTCATGTATGAGCTCCTCACCTGCGAGTCGCCCTTTGCCCCCTCTGGTCACGAGAACACACAGAAAGATGTCTCCCAGTGAGTGGTCAGGACACATCAACTGATTAGGACACCTCACTCTATCCCAAACACAGTATTCAGGACACCTCATTCTGTCCTGATTCCCCTTGTATTACATCATACAGGAGAATTCTGTTGGAAGAGCCTTTCTACCCTCGGAGTTTGTCTGCCGACTGTCGCAACCTA